TTGGTGACCTTATATCAGTTTCTCTAACCTTTGCCACCTTTGAAATACGTGGACTCAACCACCCAGATTCCCCCGCCCGGCTTGGTTGGCGGGGGAATTCTGGGAGTTGAAGTCCACGTATCTTAAAGTTGCCAAGGTTGAGAAACACTGATCTAAGGTCACCAATTACTACAAAAGATGACACTGCCCTTAGAGCAAATACAAGATGCCTATCCCATCTAATCTCAAAGGCACATCCCTTGAACCAGGAAGGACACGCAGAAGTGGAAATTGAGCCTTTGCACCTCAAGTGGCCGAAAAAGTCTATACAAGGAAGGCAGAAGCCACAGCCTAGAAGGTGATCCCTAACCACTGCAGAGAATATACATGCCACTTGCAGAAATATCCTACTTTGGCCTCAACTTCAACTTAAAGTCGCCCTCTGGGGGAGATGGAGGGCATATAAATTTAATACATTTAAATTGAATAAATAAATAAATAAAATTAAAATTAAAAAGTAGGCACAGTGTGGAAGCACTTCAAGACTAACCAAATTATGGGGGCAAAAGCTTTGGGGAGCAGCAGATTACCTCTTTAGGTGGATGGCATGATTTGCTATTACGAAGAGCAGAAGAGGAGGGAGGGGCGGGGAGAAATGAGGGTGGGAGCTGATGGGTCTAACGCACCCTGGAGATGGAGAGGAAGAAGCTGGGTTATTGCTTCTGGTACATGGTTTGCTTTATGCTGTGGAAACAAATAAACAGCTGATAGAGGAGGGGAGGTCCGAGGACAACCCCAAGTGGGATGGGAGAGCTGAATTAATCTTTGTCCTTCCCGGGACCTTAGCTATTCTTCCCTTCCCAGCACTGATCTTTGCACTGGGAAATAGCTTTCTGGAGTACTAATGGGAATTCTCCCTGTAGAAATAAGAACCCTCATTGGGAGAAGGAGTGAATTTTCATCAGAATAATGGCTATGGGGAAATAGAGTGTGCTGCCTCCCTCTGACCCCTGCAGCCCCAACTCTTCTTCTAGGGCAGTGTTTCTCAACCTTGGTAACTTTAAGATGGGTGGACTTCAACTCCCAGAATTCCCCA